GTGATTGGCCCAGAAGCTCTCGCGGCGCCTGGAGGGAGCAGCCGAGACTAGGGCCACGCCTTGCGCGCTGGAAATCCCGTGGAACAAGGCCGGGCCCGGGAGTTGGGGGCCACCTCACCTAGGGAGGTCACCTTTGGGCTGAAATGGTGGTCCAGTCACCATCCTCAGTGGATGCGGACGGCGGACGGCGCTGTGGCTTTCAGCACTGGCATTGACTCCAACATGTGCCTTTCAGCACAGCTGAAGGACACCTGACACCACGTCAGCAAACGGCCCTCCATACGACCTCTTGGGAGGAGCCAAATATGATCATCGTATAAATAACTCTCTGTTTGGACCGTGTAGTGACCAGTCAGCTACACATGTACTCCCGAGTTGTGAGCGTGTGCAATGGGGCCAGATTGCCCTCAAGCATCTTGGACATCGGTACTTGCATTGGCAGGCAACAGACCACCTGCACCCCCCCAAGCAGCAGCAAGTAGGTACCTTCCACTGAATCCCCAGCGACAAGGTACCTGGCAAGTGCTCGGGCAAAAAAAGAAAGAAAAAAACACAGAGGTGAGGCGACCGGGGGGTGCCAGCAAGCAGCCAGCAATCCAATCCAGCCAGTGCCAGTGCCCATGGCGAACCCGCGAAGGCGACGGAAGTAGAAAAAAAAAATATTCACAAAATCCCACTTCGCCTTTCCTCCCCTTCTCTTTTTCCCTTTTCCTTCTCCAGCCCACACAACAACACGCACCGTTGCACGCCAATCCCCCCCCAGGGTGCTTCTCTCCCCATTCCCCTTCTCCTCCCCTCGCGTTCTTCCCATTTTTCTTCATTGGGTTCTCGTCGCTCAATCCGTCAATCGGTCATCGCCCAGCCTAGCTGTCCAGTCGTCGAATCCCCGTCGTCTGCCTCCTCGCCCATCGCCCGTGTGTCTCTGCTACATCTCGATCATCCCCGGACGAATCAAGATTGCTCCGTCAGCTCATCCGCTGCTCAGTCACACGCCATCTCGTCGACAAGCCTTCAAGACTTTTTCGACGCCAGCTTTGTCCATCAAATTCCGACGTTAGATCAGAAAACATCGCCCGTCTCGTTTCGCTCGCTCGCCGACGATTCCATCACAACAAGCTTCCTTGCATACGAGCACAACCGGAACATCCATTGATATTCCGTGTCCCCTGTTCGACCTACCAGCAGTTTTCACCAAGCTTCATCTGCCTTTGTCCGCCCATCTCGACGACATCGACATCGACGACGACGACCTCAGGTCTCTCCCCCGATTGAAGAAGAATCAAATCCCACCCAAGAACGTCCAAATACTCCGACAGACATCTGCTCTAGATACACACTGTGACTTTGACTAGTTATGGCGTCCTCATCATTGCAGTTTGCCTACCGAACCCAGAAGGGCATCGGCCTGTTCGATGCTGCCCCGGCCTACCAGCCGCTTTCTGGATTCGTCAAGCCCGAAGGGAACCTCCGGTGTTGTGGATACTCGCCCTGCGGCCGCTACTTTGCCTGGGCCAGCCCCGAAGTTGTCACTGTTGTCGACGCCTCCACTGGCCAGCAGGTCCTCGCCCTCCCCATCCTCAACGTCTACGAGCTTGGCTTCTCTCCTCTCGGCACCTTCATCATCACCTGGGAGCGACCCGCCAAGGACGAGAATGGAGATGCGACCAAGAACCTGAAGGTCTGGCGCACCGTCGAGGAAGGTGTTGCTGGTGCCGACAAGCTGCCCCTGGGCAAGTACGTCCAGAAGTCTCAAGGAGGCTGGAACCTTCAGTACACGGCCGACGAGAAGTACTGTGCCCGTCTCGTCACCAACGAAGTTCAGTTCTACGAGAGCCACGATCTCGGCACCGTCTGGAACAAGCTGAGAGCCGAGGGCGTTGCCGACTTTGCTCTGGCACCCGGCCGTTCCTACGCCGTTGCAGTCTTCATTCCCGAGCGCAAGGTACGTTTACACGCCAAGTCACACATGCCAATGCAATCGCTAACTTTGTCCAGGGACAACCCGCTGCCGTCAAGGTCTTCAATGTGCCTCAGTTCAACGCCCCCATCTCCCAGAAGACCTTCTTCAAGGGCGACAAGGTCCAGCTGAAGTGGAACCAGCTGGGCACCGGTATCCTCGTTCTGGCCCAGACCGACGTCGACAAGTCCAACAAGAGCTACTACGGCGAGACCACGCTGTACCTGCTCAGCGTCAACGGCTCTTTTGACGCCCGTGTCAGCCTCGATAAGGAGGGCCCCATCCACGACGTTTCCTGGTCCCCGAACTCGAAGGAGTTCGGTGTCGTCTACGGATACATGCCCGCGAAGACCACCATCTTCAACCACCGAGCCGTCGCGACTCACTCGTTCCCTCTTGGGCCCCGCAATACCATCATCTTCTCGCCCACTGGTCGGTTCGCTTTGGTTGCTGGCTTCGGTAATCTGGCTGGCCAGATTGACATCTACGACCTCGAGAAGGATTTCCGCAAGCTCTACACTATCGAGGGCGGAAACCCCAGCGTGTGCACGTGGAGCCCGGACAGCCGTTACATCATGACGGCCACCACCTCTCCCCGTCTCCGTGTCGACAACGGCGTCAAGCTCTGGCACGTCAGCGGTGCCCTCATGTACAACGAGGATATGGTCGAGCTGTACAACGTTCTCTGGAGACCCCAGGCGCTTGACAAGGTGGCTGGTGGCGACCCCATGAACCCCATCCCCACCCCGCACGCGTCCGCAGCCACGTATCTTGGCTCTGTCAAGACTCCCAGCAAGCCCGCGGGAGCCTACCGACCCCCTGGTGCTCGTGGCCTCGCCACTCCCCTCCACTTCAAGCGTGAGGACGAGGGCGGTGCCGCTCACGTCAGCATGAACAACGGTTCGGCGCCCATTGGACCTAACGGATTTGGCCGCCCCCGCCGTGGTGTGCCCGGCGCGGAGTTTTCTGTTCCCGGAGCGGCCCCCCAGATCCCGGGAGCTGAGACCGCCGAAGGCGATGAGAATTTGTCCAAGGCGGCGCTCAAGAACAAGAAGAAGCGCAACAACAAGAAGAAGGAGGGCGAGGCCAACCCCGAGGGTCAGAACGGCGGCGGAGCATCCCTTGCCCCGCCCCCGCGCGACTTTGGAAGATCCGGCCACGAGGGTCGCAGCCCCGAGCGCCGTGGCGGCGGCGGCGGCGGTAACAACCACCGTCACCGCAGCCACTCTCGCAACCCGGGAGCGCCTCGTAACAGGAGCAACACCCACCGTGGCCAGAACGGCGCGCCCCAGGCGCCCAACAATGCCCAGCAGGCCGCAACGGCCAACGACGCCGGCGCTGACGGCCAGAACCCCAACGCGAAAAAGATTCGCAGCTTGCAGAAGAAGGTGCGTGCCATCGAGGACCTCGAGATGAGACTGGCTGGAGGCGAGAAGCTCGAGGACACCCAGATGAAGAAGATTGGCACCAAGACCTCTGTGCTCAAGGAGCTGGAGGGTCTCGAGAAGGAAGGCCGCTAAATTTCAGAAGACGGCCTGAATGTTAGAAAAGGGGAAAATCTAGGAGGCATCATCTTGCTACCTGGATCCCACTAAATCGTTTTACTGGGTATGGATCATGCGTAGAGGATCAACAAATGCAATTGCATGGCGCGAACGCGCCAACACTTTAATTGGTTTACCATGCGTGAAGCTTGTCTTGATTGAGGGGAATATGTTTATTGAGAGTTAAGACTGTGCGCATCACGCGCAGGTTTGTCTAAGGCAGACAAAGGGGCATCGTAAAGCATGCAGACATACAGCGATGAATTCAGACAAAGATGTGAGAGAACTCTATTGCAGGGCATGACTACACAATGCCAGCCAGGTAGCAATTTTACCGACTACAATTTGTTCGTGCAATCACTAGAGAAGCAGGTTGTGAGTTACTGTGAAAGTAGGATAGTTACTCCCAGAGCATGAAAAGTAAACGCAAGATATAGTCTGAGGCATCTGGGACTCTGAGGTTTGATTGGCTTCTCAGCTGATGCGGTGAGGTCTTCTGCAAAGAAAAAGCCGAATTGGTTCTAAAGATGCTTGTTCAACCTCTTTAGACTACTGTTTTTACCAACTCTTCTCGATACTTCCACACTTCCTAGATTTCTGAACTTCTCTGCAGCAATACCACCCCTACATCCTTCTCCCCTCACTAACACGCGGAATCGGTCACTGCAGGCTAAGACATGCAAGACCACATCCCCGCCTCGCCGCAATGCAAGGGCGGCAGAGAAGCGTATCGCCACGGATGTCATTGGCTGTTATCCCTCGGGTTGCCCGGGGATGGGGGTTGCATAGCATGAGGCGGCGAGGCCATTCCCGAAGCTGTCTGGCGTGGTTTCCTATCCTGGGGGAGAATCTCGCTTTAGAGTAGTGTGAGCCGGCGAAGTTGACGTTTGAAAACTGGTTGGACAAATGGAATAAGGTGGCAGAAGGAAGATTCGAACACCTTTTCCACGATTCGGATGGATTGGAAAGAGAAGGCGTCGGGACAAGTAGCTTGAGAGTTTTCGGTATCGGGTTATCGTCGGACATGTATATTCCGTCTCCATAGCCAGTTGGTCTACTGAGACGGTTCTGTATGAGACTTCGATATGGATACCTGTTCCTTTGCTTGATTGCCTTCGAGGCAACTAAATACCTAATAACCCATAAGTGGGATTCCATCCATAGGACACCTGAGATAAAGGGGGCACAGGAGGCACGAATAATGGGCTCAAGAAAATGTTACTAGCGAAGTAATAGTATTAAGTAGGGATTACTTAAAAAGTTGGTACTTTGATAGACCACTTCGAATCCCCTACTGCAAAACCACTCGCTGGCCTGGATTATAAAACACCTCCAACATAAGCCACTTCGAAGCCGTCCAAGCCAATGCCAAAGAGCCTTCAGCTGTCCAACCGCTCATGCATAATCCATGCTGCTATGCATTTCCAAGTGTAAGCTCTTGGTTGAAGTGTACCGTGCTACTCCGATGCCATTCCTCCCCTCTTTGCAACGCAGATCGATCAAGCTTGGATGTCCTCATTTAGCTTCTCGATCATCTTGCTCAGGCTCTTAATCTTCTTGCCCAGTTTCTTGATCTTTCGCTGCGTCTTTTGGCGTCCTGCAACGGCGGCCTCGTAAACGGCTTTGCTGACGAACTCGATCTCGTCGTCGGGCGTCGCAGGATCCTGTTTCTTGGGTGCCTCTGCTGGCTTCGACGACATCGCGCGTATGGGTAAATTGGTGGTGGTCATAGGGCAGGATATGGCGGGCGTGGTTCTCTCAGGAGTGCGAATCGGTCGGCCTCGTCGTCTTCCCATTGTTAGGATATCCTCATCTTCATCCTCGCTAGTCTCGGGTTCCTGCTTGAGTGCCACTGCAGTCTTGGAGGACATGGCGCGAATAGGTAGGAGTGTGGCGAGCGGAGGGCAGGATGTTGTAGGTGGTGTTCCTTCGAGAGTGCGGATCGGACGGCCTCGTCGTCTGCCCATTGGGACAGGGTCATCGTCGTCGCTGCCGTCGAGATCGTCGAGGTTGCCGAGGACTGGGCTGTTCCCACCGCTCTGAGGGGGCGTGATGAGAAAAGAGATGGCGCAACGTTGGGAGGGCGTGGAAGTCTGCCATACAGGTTTGGATTCGTGGGGGCTCTTTGGAGGAGCAGCCGTAATTGTCTTGAGCTTCTTCGGTTTGGGTTCTGCGGCGGCCTCTGCCTTCCGCTTCCTACCGCGGATGCTCATTGAGACGGTGACTTCATCTTCACCGGCAAGCTCGTCTTCTGACAAATAGTCGTCGGGTCGAAGCTCGGGGAAGAGACGCGAGAGATCTTTGCGCCAAATTCGAAGGACCTCGCTCACTTTGGCATGGCATTGTCTCCAGGCCTTGTTCTCCAACAGAGGGTATTTCTTGCCTAGGAGTCTTTTCGTAATGACCTCTTTTCTCTCAACGACGCCATTCTTTTTCGTAGTGACGCGCTTTTCCTTCTTGTCGACCATCAGTCTTTCCTTGATGTCATAGTAGTTGGGTTGCCACCAGATTGAACGAGCGGTTGGCATCAAGTAAGAAACGTAGAGCTCGGACAAGATGTCCTGGTCGCACTCGCTGAGATGCATGAGAGAAGCGGAGACTTCATGGTTCCAAAGGTCGATCTCGTAGGTGAGGCCGAGGAACGCGAGAATCTCCTCCGCCGCTTCGTCCACCAGTCTGAACTCAGACATTCTAACAGTGTGTTAGCTACCTCATATTTAGAGAAAGACCGATAGGAGGGACTTGCGTGTATGGCGTAGGGGTGACCTTCAGAAACGGTTCGCCATGTCTTTGGCCGACAGGGAAGTGCCGGGGGGGACAAGGTGGAGGGCAGGGCGAAGGGCAGGGCAGAGGGTGAAGAGGAGGGCAGGGTGAAGGGCGAAGGGGAGGGAGGGAAGTGCAGGGGAAGGAAGGGGAGGGGAAGGAAGGGGAGGGGAAGGAGGAAGAGGGCGAGAAGTTTGCATAGCCATTTCTGGGTTCAGTGAAGAAATACTGCATTAAAGGTTGATAGTAGGGGAACTGTTGCCAGGAAGGAAGAGAAAAAGATTGCCCAACTGGAGCGGCGATGCCTTCCTTAAAAAGGGAGCCATAGGAGAAAAGAAGGGCAGGAAGGTGCCAAAAATTAAGGTTGTGCTGAAATGACCAAAAAGGAAGGAAGGGCAAAAAGGGCCAACCATATCAACTCTAAACCAAGTCCTGAGGACTGCTCCTTCCCCAAAGCCCAAGGTTCTCTGATAGAGGTGAGGTGAGGCTCCAAGGTTGAGCCCACTATCAATAACTGGGTGAACTGGGTCTTAAGCGACCCCACAAAAGCCGGTCCCCATGAGTGTTTTCAAACCTTGTGAGTTTTCCTAAACAGTCATATGACTCTTCGTGAGTCTTTGAGCAGTTTGAGTTCGTTCGTTGTGGAAACTCTGACACCCTGACGGCCATATGTTCAACCTCACGATGTCCAACCACCACATACGACCATACCCATTGGAAAACTCGGGATCCCGTCCGCTCTCCCATAGATAAGCCAATGAGGGCTGGAGTAGTAGTCGGGTCGGTGACGACCGGCGAATGCCCCGTGTTGTATGTTTTTGATGTTTTAGTGTTTTGTCCAGAGATTGTGGCTCGTTTGTAGCTCGTTTGTAGTTCGCTTTTAAAAGAATTGCGCGAGCGACAAGATATTTGGTTTGAATGGCGAGTAAGCTACATTATAGATTGTTCGGCATAGCCCTGAGGCTGCTTCTTCGTAATTCCAGTCTCAAGACACGAGTTGCCCGAGTCCTGAGGATTCCCGCTGTCTCCGTCACGTCGTCCAGAATCCTTTGGTTCCCATTTATCTTCCACTGCCAGGGTTGCACATGCCGGCCTCCAGTTGTCGTTGGTAGGAGACATGCCGAAGTCTCTCTGCTTCCTTGGGAGTGAGACGCAGCTATCGCATTTAGTGTTTGCCTGAGTAGGGTCGTTTACGAAACTCACATAGACTTCCACACCAATTGCATGTATTGTACCCGCTAGCCATCCAGCCATGCCAAAAATGGCGTGTAGAGATGCCGTGGCTGGTGCAGGAGTTGACCTGTCAAAGAAGTTCGCCTCGACTGAGATCTGCTGGTTCGGATTTTCCCCCGACGTGTAGGGGGCACACCCCTCAAAAAGGAAAGACGTTGCGATCGCGGCATTGTTCACGTTCGCGGCTCCCAGCATGTATTCGATCACTGCGCAAGGGAGAGAGACGTAATATCCTCCTTGCTTGCTGATGATGAGCGCCGCAAGAAGGAGAATCGGTCTCATTGTGATGATAGCACCGGCCTGTCAAAGCTGGGTCAGCAAGTTTCAGCGGTGGTGAGGTGGTCACTTACATAAAACCAAGCTCTCAGCATCCAAGCGCGGTGCTGTTCAATCTGCAATCTCTTGATTTGAACGATTGAGATAAAAAGTGAACCCAAGAACCCGAGACAGAGGAACCCGACGGCGGCTTGAACCTCCAAACCACCCCCGACAGCGTGTCTGACCAGCATAAGTGCACCAATTGTACCCGGGAAAGACAAGGTCAGGATACCATAGCCGTTGATTCGGTGAAAGATGATCCATTTGCGCCGGATGGCGGGGACGAACTGCCAACAGACGAGGAATGATGCAGGTAAGATACATGCGAGATGCATGATGATCCCGATCCGGTCTACGGTGAAGTTCCGGTAGTAATAACACTCGCCGGGTAATGCGCGCTCAGTTGTGCTGAAGCCCGGTCCGCAGAAGACCTTGTCAAAGTTGAGATACATTAGGCGAGCTAGGGTGAACCCCATGAGGGCGCCCGCAAAGTTGACGAAGAGGATGAAGTTGTACCGTTTTTGGAAGCCCAGAAGTCCATGCATTCTGCCAAATTTTGCGGCGAAGGTGTTGGTCTGATTTGATCCAATCATTGCGAGTAGCTGTAACAGAAGGGTAACTTAAGACTCTTCGTGTTGTATTTAAAGCTCGAGAAAGAGGCAAGTTGATGCATAGAAAGAAAGGCAGGAGACAACTGGTGGACTAGACAAGAGCAACACCATCGTTTATATATACGAGACCTTACCTTACAAATATCTTGTTAAGTTGTGAACTATTCAATCGCAGCCTCGAAATATGATGTTGATTTCACACATTCGCAAGCGATGCAACACACGAGACTTGGCTTGCATACAGTAGAGACATAAGAATACCGACGGCGCAAAATGGTCCTTTTCGGGCTTAGAGGCAATTGTGACTTAGTCGTGATTGGTTCTTGTGTCTCAGTCGGGCGCATCTCGCCAGCAGATATGTCGTCTCCCCCGCATCTGCCCTGAATATTGTCAGCTACGCCGTAGGGCTGCATGAGTCTGATTCTTGATTTTGGCGCAGAATGAGCTCCTTCGAGCGGGTAGGTAGATAAAGGTCTACATGCCTCCCGCCAGGTTGCCTCTTTCATCAACATTTCTGGACTGGACGAAGTTGATTCTGCGCCGCGACGTGTAGCCAGGGTTCCATCTACGTGGACTGAGCATAACCTTCCCACAATGGTCGGAGTTGCAGGGAGATCCAAGTGTTGTCGGACATGCCGGCAGCGGAAGAAGGGTGTAAGTGAACACGCGGCATTGCCCTCCCAAATCCAGAGATCTGACCTGTCCAAGTGTGATCTCCAACAGCCAATCTGTGGCAACTGCTCAAGGCTTAACATCACATGCGAATATGACCGAAGACAGGTTTTCATCAACGTAACGGGGCCGGGGAAGGCTCGTCCAACAGCCAAGCCGTCTTATACCGACGTTGTGCTTCCACATTCGCTGGCTCGCTCTGCGTACGAGGACAAGTACATCAGCCTCCTGTGGGATGCCTGGTCCCCATGTGGAATTCCTTCCGCCGAAATATCTGCCAATTACCCTGTCTACAGCTGGGTCTCTTCAGCTAGGGACCTATACCAGGGCGACGATGGGCTGCGACGAACCTTGATTGCCATGTCCCTGAGCACTCTAGGACAGAAGGATGGCCAGGCATATTCAACCGCGAAAGGGTTCCAGACGTACGTTCAGGCTTTGAGTGAGGTGAATATAAGCCTGCAACATTCCAAAAGATGGAAGTCTGATGCCGTCATGGTTGCGTCGCAGGGTCTTGGACTCTTTGAGGTGAGGTTGCCTGTATATCCTTGACGCATGTCATACTGACCTTAGCTAGCTTTTGTACGGAACACAGGAGCGCGTCCAGGCCGAGGGATCTCAGGTGAAAAGCTGGCATAACCACAACTTGGGAGAGCTAGCTCTCATCCGACAAAGAGGCCCCAAGTCGTTTATCGAAGGCCATGCACACCATATCTTCTCGGGAGTGAGAATGCACCTCGTAAGTTTACATCCAGTGAGATTCAGCAAGCGGAAGCTGACCTTAATAGGCTATAGCTGGGTGCATGAGCAGGAAGAGAAGCTTTCTCAGCGATACGGCATGGAAGACGATCCCGTGGACCATAATTCCAAAGACCCCAAAGGACGTCATACTAGATATTCTCACCGACGTCCCAGCTTTACTCGAGGAAGTCGACGCCTTGAAAAGCAATCCAAGCGACTACAATTGTCAGCGCTTTGTGAAGACATATCAGCGTCTGGACCGAGAGATTGTATGGTGGCTCGAAAACCTCAGCCCGCCTACCGACATCCTCCAAGATTTACACGAGCGGAACTACAGAAACCCTACAGCCGACGAACTCGCCGTTGCCCACGTCATGACGTGCTTCTGGACGGTCTGTATTCTAGTCTACAGCTCACTTCACGCAGTGCTGAGCAGCACCTTCAACCTACCAGGTATCGAGGTGATGGAGCTGTCAGAGCGGATAAACCCGCGGCCATATTGTCTCTTGATTGCCGACGCCGTTGAGGCCTTCTTCCAACCCGAAGCTGGGACCTTTGGAATGCACGCTGCCCCGTTCCCAATCGGCATGGCCATCAAGTATCTCATGCTTACCGAGGGCTTCTCCTCCAAAGACTGCATGAGACTCATAAGATACTTCAGCGGGCAAAGCGGCGGTGCTGCTATGGGTAGTTTCTTGGCAAACACACTCTTTGTATGGAACTAGAGGGGTGCTCGTCAGTTCCTTTGAGTTCACAATATGTTCGCTGCAAAGGGTGGTGCCTGGCCAGAGCCTGCGATCTACTGGTCCATCAAAATTTAGCTTTAGGAACTTCGAGGTTGAGGACCCCTGGATATATCGTTGACCCAATTAGCTTGTGTGTGAGAACTCGGTTGCGTTGCTTTCTTCAGGAGTCCTTACTTCTCAACCTCTTTGGCCATACCCTGCCTTTCTCTGATCACTCTCGTTCAAGAACCGCTGCGGTCGGTTACTGATTGCGGCATCCACCGGCAAACAATATAAGGCCAGCTGCCAGCCCCTCTGCAGTTCCTCAATTCTCCTCCTCATCCTCCTCGTCCTCGTCCCGCTCCCCTCCTCCCCCCTCCTCCTTCTTACTGACATGTTCACAGGAAGGTCCTGCCCGATACGGCGGAGGGGCGGGCTCTCTCGGCTCGACGGCCCCTCGTACAGGGGGGTCTACAACTTGACGACAGGTCCCTCGCATAGGGGGTTCTACAACCTTTTTAATCTTTGGAACTTTCTAGTGTCCCTGGTATTACACTGCCTCCAGGTTGATGCACCCTTTCCTTGTTTTCATTGCTGTCTCTGGCTTGTCCAGGGTTGTGAAGAAGACTTCCCCTCTCCGAAGTGCATGTCATCCCTGATGATGAACATATTGGACCTTGCCTTGAATGAATGCCATCCTCATGTTTGGCCTTGATATTGACCAACACACGACATCACATGCAATCGGGCAACTTCATTCAACTCGTATCAATTCACTACTGCGACTCTCCAACATCACGCAAATAAGCCACCCACTCATCTATCAGCTTTACTTCCCCTAACATCACGTCAACCTAAGACAAAGAGAAGGCATGTCCACGTTCCGCATGCCATGAAACAGAATTTTTAAAATCGCGTCAAGACCAAACCAAGAAACACGATATCGATGCTACCCAGCGGGGTTGCCATTCCAATCCGTCAGTCAATCCCCATCCGAAATCCGTGTCTTTCTTACGCGAAACAAATGGTTTCCCTTCCCTGGACTCATACTGAGGGCGGGTGTTTTTGTGTCGTGCACTATAATGGCCAAGAGTGTAGTAGGAAACGTGTACCATCCCCGGTCCATGGCATGGGTTCTCCGCGCCGCGGCACACCAAGGACTGTCGGCTAGGGCGACGGAACGAAGGACGAGACGAAGGAAACAGAAGCTCAAATTTGCCGCGTCTCAAAACATGACGATCCGCCCGATAAAATGTGGCCACTCTTTGGCCTTCCGTGACAGCAAAGAGTCCCTGAAAAAAGGCCAGTCGTTGGCTTTTGGGTATCCCAATATTCTTAGCAATAGCATGCCATGTAGTTTGGTCTGCATTACGTCTCCCTTCCCATACGACCGAATGATGATCCGAACCCAACGCCGAGGGATGAAAAAAAGGGGGAAACGTATATTGAAAATGTATGATAACAGACGACCCAGGCGTGGAGTACAGTGACGAAACGATGTGCCTGGGGTGGTGGGTAGTAAAGTAGAAGCCCTGGGGTTACGTCTAGAGGCGGCAAGACAGTGTCACACCGTCCAGGTCGTATTTGCGGGGGGTATATATACGGAGAAGTGCGGAGATGATCATAATCACCTCTCAATGCTTTCGGGGCTCATCATGCCCATGCCCTCATCCTTGTCAGTCTGACTGGCATTGCCCTGGCTCTGCACGCTCTCGTTCCGCTCCATGCTAGGGGGAAGGGCGATTGCAGCCGGGTTAGGGCCTGCACCGTTGATGTTGACATTCTTGACCTTCTTCGCCGGCGTGGTGTTGCCGCCCTTCTCAGGAGAAGCGTTGACGGCGCCTTGCTCTTTCTGAGCCTGCGCCGCCAACTCCATCTTCTTCTTCTTCTTGGCGAGGGCGATCTGTTCTTTGGGAGGTCGCTTCTGCGGCGAGACGATCTTTCCGGATGCACCGAGACGCGGGCGAGGTCTCCTCTGCTTGACGGGCAGCTCCTCGTCTTCGACAAGGGGAGCGTCGCTATTGGCATGCAACTTGGCGAGGAAGAAGTTCTTGATCAAGCCAATCTGTCCGTGGATGTTCTCCGTAGTGACGGGGTCCACAGGCGGCAGCGAGTCGAACAGGTCTGTGACCTCGGTGCCGGTGGTCTGTGTCTGCATCTGGTACTGGTTGCGCACGCGAGACTGGAGCAAGTGAAGAGGAACCGAGAGCATATCAAGACCCATCTCCTTGTCCAGACCGAGCGCCTTGAATCCGAAGAAATCTTCGCCAAGGTCCTCTGCGAAGTCGCCACTAACGAACTGCTCGCTGCCGTCCTTGAAGGCTCCGACTCCATCCTGGCCAGCTTCTTGGGTAAGGGCAGGACGCAGCAGCTCGGTCAGGTGCAGCTTCATGCGCTCGTGGATACCGCCAAGCTTCGTGCTCAGCCTGTCGATATCGTCCTTCGCATAAGACTCCAGGTTGACCAAATCGCAGCCGTTCTCGTCCAGGGTATGCAAGATGACCTCCTCAGGGGTGAAGCGGTTCTGGAATCGAGGTCCGTGTTCAGAACGAACGGCTTCCTTCTTCTCAGCTTCCCGGTAGACGTTGAACGTGTGGATGAGCTTCTCGAAATAGTCGGACGCGATGCTGGTCAGGGTGTCGATGGCAGAAGGCTGGAGCTCTTCGAAACCGGTGTGGTAGAGGATCTTCGCCACGGACCGCTGCAGGGCGTTGTGGCAGGTCTCCGGGGCAATGACGGGCCCATCATCGGCGATGAAAGAGGGCTCGGCGTCCTGCTCGACAAACGCCTCGTAGTTGGACTTGGGAAACTGGTTGTTGTAAACCTGGAAAAGTTAGATTCGTTCTTTTAGCTGCGTCGTCGGACAAACCTGAGTCTGGATCTGCATCTGCTTAATCACACCGATCTTGCTCGATAGTTTCCTCGTCTCTTGGATTTGACGAATGTTGGTGTCGATCTTGCTGGTCAACTTGCTCTTGGGCGCAACGAAGTGGCCCTCAGGGATCAGCCGAAGATATTCCTCGTGCTGGTTAATGACGTGACCCTCGCCGTCCTCGATCCACTGCAGCTTGGGCTGGATGTCGGGGATGACCGTTAGAGGCTCATAGTACGCGGGAACCACCTTCTCCTCTTCGCCTTCCATGCCCTCTGCAAGAGTCTCGGCAGGCTTCGCTGCTTCCTTCGCGGCGATGGCTGAAGAGTCGGCAGAGTGGCTGATAACGCCCAGAGACTCGGCCTCTTTCTGGTTCCTCAGGTACCAGCGGATGCCTGCCTTGTTTCGGAGGAGTGCGGGTGCGTCGACGTTGAGCCTGTTGTCCTTGAACAATTGGTACCGCTCTTTGGCGATGAGCGCACGATCCTTCTTAGTAACTTGCTTCCAGATCTTGTACTCGTCGTCCTCGTAGGCCTGTTCTGCTGCCTCGTTGAGAGCCTGCCCCAAAGCCATGCCGTTCAGGGTCGGTCCGTCAATGTCCATGGCGTCGGCGTTGCTACCGATGCCAGAGTGCCCGTTGATGCCGCCAGGGGTGGCTGACCCGCCGATTGGTGTACCGAAGCCATTGCTACCGTCGACGGCCTCGGAGCCTTCCCGTCCCTTGGCAAGTAGACCGTTGAGTTGGAGCAGCGGCTTCTGATCGACGCTCGGTGTGCCCTCTTTTTGGTCGGCTGGCTGTTTCCTGGACTTGCCGCCTTTGGTGCCTGCTGTACGCCCACGAGATGACATGATCGGCTCGTCGTCTGAGTCATCACCGCCGTCCTCTTCGCCGCCATTCTGCTTCCGTCGCTCTTCGGCCTCGACCTCGGCTCGCGGCCTAATGACAAGGTCTGGGATGAGGGGGATAAGCTTCTCTGCCTCCTTCCTCATACCATTGGCCATGCGTCGGAGAGGGTGTCCCATATCTTGGTTGTATTTCAGGCAGTTGTCCCATATCAGGTTAAGGTCGGTGACGAAATCCGCCTTGGATTTGTACGTGAGAGACTTGAGCTTCTTGGTCATGGTTCCCAGGTCCATCGGCTGCTTGATCACTGCGGGGGTCATTAGCCAATACTTGTGGAATCTGTCTGCCTAGAGACTTACGTATGTAGTAATCAGGCGCATCCCTCTTGTTCACCCTTTGTAAAAAAGGTGTCGAGTATTCCGTGTGTGCCTTCAATTCTGTCAAGACCTTCTCGACGGCTTCGTACAACTCTTCTTGGTTGACGTTCTCTTCGCTCGCCCATTTGCTTCGGTTCTTTCGTACTTCGTTCATCAGAGATCGCAACTCCGCGTCTGATGCGCGAACTTGGTCGCGTTTCAAGTCTATCCTCGCAATCAGATGCTTAAGGGTCAGACTTGACGCGCCGAGGTTGGCGCTGCTGAGCGAGCCGTGGTTCTCGGCTTGGGCGCCGTTGGTAGTAGTATGGTTATTGTTGTTTTCCATCTCCGCCTGCAACTGCTTTTCTGATTCTTCCAGCTGCTGCTGCTCGAGCATGGCGGTGCGGTCGTTTTCGAGGGTATAGAATACTGTATGGAAACTGCGTCTGGCAGCCTCCTCGGTCGCGTTGCGCGCCTCTTGTAGCTGTTTGCGCGCATCCTCGCTCGTCTTTGCGAGATCCTGGGACCCGTCGGCTTGTTTGAGTTTATCGAGTTGCTTGCCGGGTGAGCTCACGGAGTGCACGGGCGAACTTCCGGACTTGGAGGGGGAGAGGAGGGAGCCGGCGCCGGCAGCCGCGGTGCCGTTCTTCGACTTGTGCGCGTCGGCATCCGTCGCGTCTTCATCGTCTTCGTCGTCGTCATCGCCATAGTCGTCTTCGTCGATGACCCGCTTGGCCTTCTTTAATGGAGGCTCCTGGATCGGCGCATGGTCGGTGGTAGGGGGCAAGATGGAGGGGGAGGGGGCGGAGGGGCGGCGAAGGGCATCGATGGCGGGATAGTTGTATGAACCGTCATCAGCAAATAGCAGCGAGATCTTTGACTCGCTCTTGTGATAGAGATCCTTGAACAAGGCACGGCGTCGCTCATC